CTCCGTGGCATGTGGGATATTCCCGGACCGGGACACGAACCCGTGTCCCCTGCATAGGCAGGCGGACTCTCAACCACTGCGCCACCAGGGAAGCCCTGTAGAGTATAATTATTGATCTTATTGTTACCTATTCTGAAAATAAATGTGGATACTCTTTTTTCTTTAAATGACTTAAATACAAACAACAACAACAACAAATATGTGGGCTGGATCAATACATCCGAATAAGTGCCCTTTTATCTGAAAAAAAAATTTTCTTTCAGAAATAGTTACTTATTAAAGAAATACTTGAATTGTTAACCTACTCTTCAAAAATAATTAGGACTTCTTTTCACAAGGCACAGAAGTTGATGACAACCTTGGAAATTAAGACACCTGTGTCAAATTACTTCTGTAATAAAATTTGCAATCAAACAAAATTACAATGAACATGTGTTTCTCTGGTTATAGGCTTGCATTCCTTAGCACTTACCTGCAAAATCTGATGCTATTTTGAGCAAAACAGTTTCTAAATCATTTCTTAGACTAGATAACTCCTTGTATGCTTTCTCCCTCACCCACCCTCCTCCAAAAATTTAAATATATTTTCAAGGTAGAAGGGGCTTAGTGAGAGAGCTCACCAGATTTAGTCTGTTGCTATATTTGTTACTAAGCAAGCCACCATTATTGCTGTTGTTGTTTTATTAGGTCACAGATATTAGAGCTGTAATGAACTTCAAGAAATCACTTCAGTTTCTGGCAAACCAAAGATGCCCTTTTCTTCAACAAAACACTTGGGGTCAAAGGAGGTAAGTGATTTATCCAAGGTCGTATACTGTAAATCCCCTACATACAAACGAGTTTCGTCCCAAGAGCGCATTCATAAGTCCAATTTGTTCGTAAGTCCAACAAAGTTAGCCCAGGTACCCAACTAAACAAATCGGCTATGTAGTACTATAATGTAATAGGTTTATAATACTTTTCACACTAATAATACATAAAAAACAAACACAAAAGATAAAGAAAACATTTTTAATCTTACAGTACAGTACCTTGAAAAGTACAGTAGTGCAGTGCAACAGCTGGCATCCAGGGGCTGGCATCGCGTGAACAGGCAAGAAGAGTTACTGACAGGAGGAGGGAGAGGAGGTGGGAGATGGTAGAGCTGAAGGGTCATCAGCAGTAGGAGACAGAGGGCAAGCTGCACATGGCAATGTACGCCGGACACGTGAACTAACTTACGTGATTAGACATGTGAATGCATGCATATTCGAATCTTTGAAAGTTTGCAACTTGAAGGTCCGTGTGCTGGGGACTTACTGTAGCTATAAAGGTGTTGAATTTCTGACCCCAACACTTACTGGAAGGATTGTTCTAGAGTCAGCTCTTTATCCTAAAAGGTCAAGTATATTGCTGAGTAATTTCAGAATCAGAAGTTTCCCTTCCTGTCATGGATTCCCCTTCCTGGTTGAAAGTTTCCATCTGTCTGACTGGCTTTACCTAGAAAGCTGGGCCTTGGGGACATACTTGTGAACAAAGGAAAGATTAGAGGGGGTTGTTGCATGTTATTCCCTCAGTTGGAGGTTTTCCCTTGCGGGTCTCTTCTAGCACTGCTGAGGGTAAGAAGAGGAAGGCTCCGTGTAATCAGAGCACCAGAGTCTGGCCACAGACAGGCACACATGTGCTAAATCAAAAGGCCACACTAATGGTCTCGATGCACATTCTAGCCCTCAGAACCAGACATTAAACAAACTCAGTTCTTTTTTTTTTTTCCTGTCTAACGAGGGAGGCAAGACTAGATAATTTCTAAGAGTACTTCTAGGCTTAGGACTCAGGCCACAAACTGTAAGTCTTCTGAGCTTATATTTTACTCTGCTGTTTGGTTTGAGCCCACCATGGAGGCCATGTAGCCAGGCTGGTATTTGCTCATTCATAACTCAAGCAAATTCCTAAACCACCATCATTACCTATGTCCACTTCAACAATTTATATCACCTTCCAACCCCTGGTGATACTGAGTTTACAAACAGAGAGTGTAGAACACAAGTTGTTTGTTTTCTGTAACAATACTTTTTCCACTCCAGCATACTGACTTTTATTTTTCATTTCATAACGTCCCTGCCAAAAATAACAGTGAAATCTAAAGACATATGAACATGTGGTATGTAAAACAAGCACTAAATTATAAATCTAAATAATAATTGCACTTCCATTTGTGTGTGATTACTTTCATATGAAATTAACTCTTTGGGTTGGGATATGTGGTTGCTGTGTGCTTGTGTAGCTGGGGAAGAAGGAGATTGGAAGTGATAGATATAAAGCAGGAGGTAGTGAGGCCAACTATGATAGTACCTAGAAAGTTGTACTCCATAATTATCTATTGATGTATGAATAAATGAATGACCAGACCACTGAAAGGCTGACACCAGATTAAATATTTAGTATTTTTCCACCTGCCATAATTTAAAATTGAAATCACAGAAGATCTATATTCCTGAAAGACTATACTTTTTCTTAGAAATCTCCCTCATGCAACACAGTGTTTGGCATTGTGTCTGGTCACAATAGTCAATAAGTACTTAACAATAAAAATAATAAGAGGAATGCCAGCAGCAGTTCTACAGACTGCACTAAACACCTCAATTTTATTATCTCATTTATCCTTCATAGTAACACTGAGACAGGCTGGGACCTGGGACACTTTGCTGCAGTGCTTGCACCTGGACAGACGTCTTCTTGAGCAACCAAATACAAAGAAACTATAAAGGACTAAAAATAACTGCGTGCATTCCCAGTTGGGGCAAATTATGGACAACAAGATACAAAAATACCAAAAAAATCCCACGTGTCACTTCTGAAGAGCCAGGAGCAAAAGGAGGGTACTGTGCATGCCTCCTGCACACAACACCACCAAAGGGGTGGGCAAACCACCTAAGGCCCCCCCTCCAGCCTGACCCCTGGACACACCCCTACCCTCACCCCACATAAGGATCCAGCTCGCCCCCCCTCAGGGAGCGAGCAAGGAAACCTGTTGTTTGTTCTCGCTCCCCCCTGATACAGCAGGGGCCCCAATAAAGCCTTGCCTGAATTTCTTGTCTGGCCTCTTATCAATTTCTATTGATTAAAGAGGCCAAGAACCCGGGTCGGTAACAACACTGTAAAGTTGGCACTATGAGTTGCATCCATAATACAGATGAGCGAAGACAATTATTAGCCAACTTCACAAAACTAGTTCTGTGAGAGCCATAACTCAAACCAAGGTGTATCTTGCTTAAACCCTTGTTTTAATAAATGAATAAGTGCATGACAAAATGAATGCAACTCTCCTGTGTTTTTATTACTGGGGCAACTTGGTAAGGGTTGGGTAGAGGTGGTTTAATTTACTGAGCGGCCAAGATCTTTGTTATACCAAACTCCCAAAGACACCAAGGTATCACTATGGCCTCAGAGAGTTAACAAGAAAACCTGAGAAACTGAATCACTGGGACAAGGATACTAGAACCAGATGGAAGAAAGTTCAAGAGAAACGCATAGGTATTCTATGCTACTAATTTCTTCCATCTGGCTGATACTCATCAATAGAAGCAGTGAAGCCATGTCATTCATTTGTTTAAGAATTATGTCAAAATTCCTACGTTTAAGTGAAACACCATGCTGAACATAAGCTCATCTTCCTTTAACAAAGATTCTTGGCAATCGGCAGCAACTCACAGCCATCACATTGCTCAATTACACTGTACTGCAGATGAGGCTGTTAAGAGACAGTTCCTGAGAGAATGATGGATAAGCCACCTCTTATAAGAGAAATTTTTTTCTTTCTTTTTTTTTTTTAAAGTCTCCTCTTTGGTTTCCTCTCTCCTGACTCCCTTAATTTCTTTCTCAATCTCTTCATATGTTAAATAACAACTACAAACTATATTTTTGGGAATCTATACATTTCAAAGCCAACGTTTTTACCAAGATGGTATATGTCACAAAGTACCATATTGGAACACCTGATATTGCAATTTGTATAATTAGCCACCATAATTAGTTGGCTAAATGACTCTGTGAAAGAGAGCTTTTGTTAATCAAATGTTGTACATGAGGAAATAAATTCAACATGTTTAAGGGGTTTGTAAATAACAAAACTGGGGCAGGAATTGAAGTTATAAATTTATAGCCTTTAACAACAGGTATATGAGTTGATCTGGGGACTAGCTCAATCCTATCATAGAAATGACCATTTTTTTCACTGCCATATAGTGATCAGTTTTTGAGCAAGCTAGTTGGGTGGGTTGTAGTAGCATGACAAACTTTTTTGTTCCTGGAAGGCAGTTTGGGAGTTTAAAATGTGAGCAGCCTTTCTCTGCCTTCTGTGTTATCACCTACCAAAGAGTAGTAAAACTTCTGAGTACTGAAATAAACCCCAGAGAACAATTAAACCTACTGATAAGTTATATAGTAGTTTTCAACTATTTAACATAAAGGAGACAATTTAAAGAGTAGTGCAAGAGCAAACTGGAGAGGGTCCTTTAGACAGAGAGAAACTGGGAATGTATAAACTACAGAGAAAGACGAGAGAAAGTGGAAGTGTCTTATTTAGAGGCTTAGCTCATTTTCTTTTGATCTAATCCTCTTTGTCAAATCCTCCCTTACCACTGTCATTATAGTTGGGCTGTCTCCTATATATGGAAACTTCCAGACTCCACTCCCTCATCTCCACCCACAATAAAAGTCAAATGTGTTCCGCATTTATTAAATTGACAAACATAACAGGTCTCTAAACAGCACTGGAGACCAAAGATTTCCTTGGCATTCTCAATATATATATTTTACATTTCAGCTTCCCCCAAATATCTTGCATGGTATTTAAAACACAAAATGACTGTGCCATTTGCGAAATGTCTGGTTATTCATTTTTTTATTCCAACCAATGCTAATGTGTTCTAAGATACCACATGTGACTACCCTATTAAGGCATTTGAATGTGAAATTATCATCCACAATACCATCATAAGAGAGTAATAAAGACAGATTACCTGGGGTTAAGAGGATGACTGACATAGTGATGAGTGAGCATACAACTAAAATCACCAGCAGGGCAATAGCAATTCCCTTCCAGTTTCTCTGTGGAGGGCTGTTACTTCCCAGTTCCTACCGAGATAGAAAAAAAAAGAAGTTTCATAATTATACATGCTCCAAGAGAAATGTACTCATAAAGGAATGATTCAGTGCATGGAAGAATCACATTGAAAGCTGATTAGAATCCTCTTCCTCTTTGGTAGCTCATTTAATTATTCAAAGGTGCATATATTATAAATGGCTATCTTTTGGGGGGCAATCTTATTTCTCCAACAGATAAAGCAGCAAAGGTTTATGCCTGTTGTCTAAAATGTGGATGGCATTAAAATACATTGAATATAAACACTAGGATGATAGCCAAAATACTCTGCAAAATAATTATGTAAATAAAGTGTGCCCATTTACATTTTTTCTTGCTACAATGGAACCTACAATAAAGATTTAAATATTAATATTCCTGAAGCACTATAGACTACTTTTCTAACTGGTAAGGGGAAAAGAGATTAGTGATGGGAAAATTATTCAGAATGCCCCCTCACTGCAGAGCAGTGCACATTTGTCAACTCAAAAGGTCCTTTTTTTAAACAGTTCCCCTACCACTCATAAATATCAACAGGATGTAGTAACTAAATTAAATGAGCGCTTCTATATCAATGGTTTATGACATCCTCTCCCTGGGCAGCATGCATGATATTGGCAAGGAGGTATGACTGATGGGGTAGGATAAACTTGAGCATTTCTTACAATACATATAGTAAAGCTTTTCATTTTTCAGATGATCTGGGTTCTATTCTACTGACTAGAAATATATGAGCATCATTCAGCAAAGTAAAGCACAGACCACACTAGTTTGAAATAAATGCCAGATTTTCTTTGTAATAAAGTTTATAAAACACTAAGCTTCTCGTTTCTTTCTTCCTGTCCCAATCCCCAGCCTCTTTTCCTCCAGTCCTAATACAGCCTTCTTTATTCAGAAATAGTCAAATGATTTGGGGACAAATGAAACAAAACGTAAAGGTTTCCAGTTCACTGTATTTGCACAAATCACCCAAGAAGCCAGTCTTCCTTTAAACAAAGATAAGTAAAATAGCAAACATTTGGTAAGCTATAAATGGCTTATTGTGACTCACAGTTTAAAGCACTGAAGCCAGTTTTCATATAGGGATAGTGGCATTCAGTTCTGCAATAAACTCTTTGGACTTAAAGAACTAGGTCCTAAATAAATGCAAGAAGAAACCATGCATAGGAGGTATTTTGTTACTGTTTGTTTTTCCCCTTCTCAGATCAGTAGCTTTAGGTTTTTCACTCTGATGAACCAAATCCGGCAGAAATCAATTCCAATCTTTTTTCTAAAATGGCTCACTCCATACCTCATGTTCATGCTTATTAATGCTTATCATCCAATACCTCTATCCGTTCTGAATTTTGGTTAGAATTTCCATTCATAAACTTAGTCCACATAAATCGAAACAGTAGATTAGCAAATCATCAGCGTTTCAGTAAAAACATCAAGAAAAGCAATAGTTGTCTTAAGACCATAAACCCTTTTCTGGAATGCAACGTGACTGCAGGTTCCCTGGGCAATTTCTTTGTCAGAATCTGTGTGGTGTGATGACCAGTTATTCTCCGTATTAAGGCTCTATTTAAGACTGCTCAGAAGCCAGAATGATAGATTAGAGAGGCAATGCTATACGTAGATGCCTATGCTGGGCAAAAAGCTTTGAAACACTCAAGAACTAAGAGATAATGAAAGAAGGGCAACAAACAATAGGAAGTGAGTATCTGGACCAAGAATCATAAACACTTTCATACTTATTAACTCAAAGGGAGGTAAAAAAAAGGAAAAAGAATAATTGTAAGCAATTATAACTGACTTTTCAGTCCAGTAAAGGAATCAAGGGGAAATGATCATTTTAAATCTACTGACTCTGATCTTGATTCGCTGTCATTGGAACGCAAGGCAAATTATTAGACAAATGTGTTCAGAGTGTGTTTTTCAGTTTTTGAATATATAACTATGCAATGCCTACCAAGCATTGTCTAACAGCAATAACAGATACCTTATTATGTGTCTCGTATTGTACTGAGTACTTTATATTCACAATCTCACAAAATCCTCATGAGAATTAGGTGAGATTACTATTATTTTGACAAATCTGCAGATGAGAAACATGGGATTTACAGAGATAAATAACAAACCACTTACTGCTAATAAGTGGGATATCTCAAGGTCCAATCCGTAAAAGTCTAGCTTCAGAAACCACACTCACACACTATAATATGCTATTCTAAAAGGAGATATTTCTTGAATCAATCAATAAGCCAATGAATCAAGGAATGATTTGAACCCCTACATAATAACAGTTGTACTTTAATACCTTTTATCTGAGAAAATTCACAATTTTATAAAAGCTCTTCTGAAGTCTGTAATGCTTTCAAATAAACTCACGTTTTCCCAGGAATGGCAGACTAGAAAAAATATACCATTTTAAAAAATGGTAAAACATGTTTGAGTACAAAATACTTTTCTGTTCATAAAGTGATGCACATAAGAATGTCTGGCTCCTCTAAAAATGACCCATCAATACCAAAAGCATCTACAAGTCCCTGTTTTAGGAACTGCAGACTTAATGAACTCTTACTATAATTCCCTCCTTTCCATCCATCTTAAATTCCATTACCATTATAATATTTCTAAAGCACGGTTTCACTTACATCACTTTATTCACAAAGTCCTTTAATGTCTCTACATTATCTAAAGAATTAAGTGCAAATGTGTGAGTCTAGAATAACAATGGTCTATAGCCAAGCTCCAGTCTTTTCATCCAACTTGATCTTTTTTTTTTTTTGAGAAAGAACCCTATACTGCTCTGATTACCATTTCCAGCATATGCCTCAGATGCTTCAAACTTCACCCAACCATTCCACTCCCAGTTTTTTTCTCCAATTCCTTTCATATGCATCCAAGTACAGACATTGTCAATCATTCAACATCCTGCTCAAATGTCTCTTCTCTTGAAAATTTCCCCCAATTATGCAAGCCAGATATAATTTTCCTTCTGAAAAAAAAATGCCTAAAATGCATTGTACCAATAGGTTTGAGACCAACTCTGCTACTTAACAGCTATGAGAATGCAAACAACATGCCTCTACAATTTCCTAAGCCTCAGGCTTCTTTTTTAGCTGAACAACTGGAATAATAACAATAATTATTTTTAAATGTAACAAGGGTTAAAACAAATTATGCAAACAAAGCTCTCACTTAAATGTACAATAAGACAGTTCACACTAAGTGAACTGCTTGGAATGTGCTTCCTCAGTACACTTGCACATGTCACTCTTTCTCTCTCTCTCATCATTTCAGGTCTCAATCTCAAATGTTCCTTCCTTTGAGAGGCCTTGCCTGGCCACCCTCTACAAAATAACATTCTATATCCACTTCTATTTCTTCAATTAGCTTTATTTTTCTTCATATCATTATCATTTTTGAGTATATTATGTCCTAGTGAATCATATATCTATAATAATATAAATTAAGTTGTTTAAATGTTCATTTTATCAGTCTCAGCTCTCCAGAATAGAAGCTTTGTGATGTCAGTAACCTAGATCATCTTGTTCTCTGCTACATCCCTAGCATTTTGAACAGTGTTTGGCACATACTAGGTATGCTATAGATAATAAACAGATGAATGAATGAATGAATGAATGAATGACAGCAGTTCTGATGATAATGATGATGATCGTGGTGATGGTAATGCTTAAAGCCATGTATAAACAGCCATCTTTATCCTGTCAAAGTTATCTCCTTAAGGTAAGGAGCACATCTTAGATAACTTTATATTCCTTAGACCATTGAACAAATTCTAGTCCTCTTAATAGGTGCTTAGAAAATAGTTGCCCAGTTAATTAAGTGGTATAAATGGTACCTGAAATGGTATAGAGCTACAGTGTCATTAGTTAAATACACATCAATAGTAATTTTTAAAAAAGGAACTACTTGCTATAGATAAATTTGATTGCAATTATTTTTAGCTTCATTTATCTGATGCTTGGATCCCAAAATACAGTTGCCATTCTTCAGTTTATCTTCTTCATCGACAACCTCAGTAATTTCTATTGTTGCTGGAAGTGGTTCCGATTGGCTCTGCTTTTCAATGACTTCCTCCTAGCCAACACCTGAAAACATACACGCCAGGCCCACAGGACAGGTTTGTGCTGGGCAGCAGCCTGACCTTGCAATGTCATCATCTGAACGCTTTGGAGGCAGTACAGAGTCAACGTTGGGATAGTAAATTCCCTGGAGAGGTTTGAAGGTATAAGAACAAATGTTTAAGAACCCATATATACAGTTGTTTTTAAAGTCAGTCCTCCAGTGGATAGATGCATAGGTTAAAACACTTGTGTCCAACTGCAGCTGATGTTCAGTGTTGTGATTGTCTAGAGATGTTTTGGTGCTGCAGGCCAAACTAAACTCAATCTGTAACCTAGTTATTTATGTTGTGTTTACTGCCAATCAAATTACTCATCACCCTTTAGAGAACAGTTTAGTTTCTAAGACGGATGTTCTCGACACACATAGTTTATCTAAATCCAAATGCATTTTTAATTTGTTCAAATACAAAGGAAAAAAATTCTAGAAATCATAAGCAGAAAACATCCAAGATTTATATATCATTTCCTTGGGCAAAATAAGGAAAAAAGCCGAACCAACAAATTCAATTTTCTTAAAAATAAGAAAAAGAATATAAATGTATATAATAAATATAAACATATATTCCACTCGTGGTTCCCCTTAAAAAACTCTATGTTCATCTGCCATATGCATCATGAAAAGAAATATGATCCCTCCATATTAAAATTGTATCAAAAAGTAATAACATTTACAGGAAGATACAAGGAGGAAAAATCATCAAGATATTGAAATTATGTCTGTAGATCGGATGAGGGTGTGTTTTAATAAAAATAGATCTTTTCATCACATGGTGTTCACATTCACAACTGTGAATAGTCTCAACTGTAAATAGGTCAAAAAATAGTCCAAAGCATTTACACTTAATAATTGGAAAATATCT